GGCCGGGGGTGGGCGGGGCGGAGGCCGCGCCGTCGGGCTTCCCGGTGACGCCTTGCCTGCGCGCGTTTGGGGCGGCGCTGGCGGAGCAGTTGGCGGCGCAGGGCTCGCAGCTCGCGGCGCTGCAGCAGCAGCTGGCGGGGGCGCCGTTGCCTCGAGCGGCCGCGCCAGTCGTCGGCGGCGACGGCGGCGGCGACGGGGACGCGTTTGCGCTGGCGGCGGCGCGGCGCGCGGCGGCGGGCTGCATCCTGCGGCTGCAGCTTCTGCAGTCCGTGGCGGCCGGCCTGGCCTGCGAGCTGGGCGGCAGCCCGGCGCAGTCCAGCGCGGCGCTGCTGGACTGCCTGTACCGCCGCCTCGCGTGCGGCGACCCCGCGCTCAGCGGCCCCGCGGGCGAGGGCGCCGCGGGGGCGCTGCTGCACCTGCTGCTCAGCAGCATGATGCCGCTGCTGGGCGCGCTCGGGCGGTGGCTCTACGGCGGCCGCGAGGGTGACGGCTGCGGGGCGCCCGGCGGGGGGGGCGGCAGCGGCGGCGGGGAGGACGACTTTTTCGTGCAGCACGCGCAGCAGCTGGAGGTGAGGGACCCGCGGTTCTGGTCTCAGGCGTTTGTGCTCGCGGGCGGCGGCGGCGGCGGCGCGTGCCTGGCCGGCGAGCGAAGCACCGGCGCCGGCGAGGCTTCCGGCCTCTCACGCGCGAGCAGCGGGGCGGAGGGCGCCGCGGCCGCGGCGACGGCGGAGGGCGCGGCGGCGGCGGCGGCGGCTGCGGCGGGCTGCCCGTCGTTCCTGGCGACCCTGGCTCCGGGGATCCTGTCGGCGGGGAAGAGCCTGCGGCTGCTGCGCCACATGCAGCAAGAGCAGCTCGCGGCGGCGCCGCTGCAGATGCGCATAGAGGGGCCCAGCGGCGACGCGCGCGGCGCCGGGGTGTGCCGCGAGCGGCGGCGCAAAGGGTGGGACAGGCGGGGTAGCAGCGGCGGCGGCGGGGCGGCTGCGGCGCAGACGGGGGCTGCGGCACGGCTTCAACATGCGGCGGGCGGCGGCTGTGATGGCGAGGGGGGCGTGGTCGGCGCTCATGCCGCTCCAGTGCGCATGAGCGCCGCCGCGAGGCTGCAGCTGGCGGTGGCGGCGGCCGCGGCGCAGCATGGGGAGGACGGGGAGGCGTTCCAGCTGCGATTTGCGGAGGATGCGTGCGCGCTGCTCCGGCGCTGGGACGCCGCATTGCCTCGGGACTCCCCTGGCTGCAGCGGCGCCGGCGGCAGCAGCGGCGACGGTGACAACGGCAGCAGCATCGGCGGCGCCGGCGGCGGGGCGCTAAGCCAAGAGGGCGCGTCGGCTGCCTGGGGCGGCGGCGGCGGCTGGGGGCAGCAGCGAGACATGTTTGCCACGCTGGAGGGCGCGGGCCTGCGGCTGCGCTGCCCTGGCGGCATGCTGGCGCGGCGGGAGGAGGCGAGCGCGCGGCAGGGCAGCGAGGACGGCGGCGGCGTCGGCGCGGCCGAGCAGCCGCTCGGGGAGCAGCTAGCCGGCATGGGCCTGCGGTCGCCATTGGGAAACCAACTCACCACAGGTCTGGGCCGCAGCAGCGCTGAGCCAGCCTGCCTTGCGGAACCTGCGGCGCCAGCAGGCACCAGTGGACGTGCGGCCGACGAGCCGGGCAGCCCAAGCTCAGGGGAGCCCGGCGGCGCCGCAGCGGCGGCGGTCAGCATCGAGGGGTGCGGTGTCAGCGGCCGCGACGGGGTGCCCGCGCTTTCGGATTGGGGTTTGCAGCTGAGCAGAGACATGGCGGCGGCGGACGCACGCCTCTGGCGGATGGTGCCCTCTGGACCGGGCGGCCGCGGCCAGTGCAGGGGCGGCGCCTGGGGCGATGATGCTTTCTGTGCCAGCGGCGGCGGCGGCGGCGGCGGCGGCGGCGGCGGCGGCGAGGAGCCGGATGGGGCGTGCACAGGCGTTGCCGCGGGGCCGCAAGAGTGGCCGGCGGAGCTATGGCCGCTCCGCTCCAGGCAGCGCGCGCCGTTGCCGGCATTCGGCGCCGCCGGCGCGGGCATTGTCGGCCGCGGCGGCGCGTGGCTGTCGGCGCCTCAGCGGCCGCAGCGGCGCCTGGCGTGGCTGCTGTCTGAGCCGCCGCGGTTTGTGGGGCCGGTGCAGATGATGATGGAGCGCGCCCTGCTGGAGCCGCTGCGCGACAGGGTGAGGCGCGGGCAGACGCTGATGTGCGTGTGTGTGTGTATGTGTATCAATGCTTGTATGTATGATTTGAAGGTGTATATCTGCGTGTGTGTGTGTGTGTGTGTTTTTGTGTGTGTGTGAGAGAGAGAGTATGTGTGTGTACACACACTGTAATATTGGGGGCAAGGGCTCAGCTTGATGGCATATATTTTCGCGCCGCCGGCAAGGGGGGCCGCCTGCCGGCGCAATGCCTGCGGCCGACGCGGGGCCAGGCGCCCTGTCTTCCGCGCCCGCGCCCCCCGGCCGCGCCCCCCTCCCTCCCCCCTCGCCCGCCGCGTCACCCGCACGACCCTCCGCCACGCCCCCCCACTTGCCGCCCCAGGTTGACGCGGTGGGCAGGGAGCTGCTGGGCCGCATGCTGGGCGAGTGGGGCCTGCAGACGGAGCTGCGGGCGCTGGCGGGCGCGTTCCTGCTGGCCAGCCCCGCGGCGGCGGCCTGGGCGGACGCGCTGCTGGATGGGGTGGAGCGGGGCGGGGGTCTGGAGGGTCTGGACGCGGCCGAGCTCACCATAGGCCTGCAGGCAAGCAACTTTCTTGGCATGGCGCGGGGGTGGGGGGTGGCTGGCGCTCTCACTGAACCTTGGGAGGGCCAAAAAGCCACCCAAATTCGGTTGTTACCGATCGGAGGGCAGAGCGGGGGAGCATGGGGGCGAGGTGCTGGCCTCTGGAGCTGTTGGCGGCAGTCTAGGACACAAAATCCACCGCAAGCCACGGCTGTGTTCCGAGCGGCCGTCGGCGTGGGGTCGAGGGCCCGGCGCCGCCCGGCGCCTCGCGCCTTCGGTGGGCAAATCACGGCGCGCCGCCTGCGCAACCAAGAGGGGTCGATGACGTCATCGACGCTCCCTGCCCGCGTCCATGCCTGCCCACAGGAGGCCGCGGCCGCGGCCCCCGAGGACGCCCCCCTGCCCGCCCCGGGCAGCCTGGTCGTGTCAATAGACCAGGCCGCCCTCGACGCGGCGCGCGCCGCGCGCGGCGGCCCCGCAGGCGCCCCCGCGG